TATATATATATATATATATATATATATATATATATATATATATTTCTTTTTTCCCTTAAGTTTGGCGTTGTTATATTGATGATTTTCATTTTCTACGAAAAGAAGTACATAAGAAAATATAAAACGATCCCTGAGCGTGCGGTCGCAGAACTCCTCTATGAAGGTTATACCCTCCTTTCCACTTATCACAGTCATTGCAATTTTATCTGTGTGGCACGCATTTTATTAAATCCTTTGAGGAAGTGTAAAAAAGCATCTATGGTAATATTGAGTCAGAAATATAATATTATTTTTTTTACAACAGAATTAGGCAGTTACTTGAAAGATAATAGAAAATTTTAGAAAAAAGTAGAGAGAAAGAAAGAGAGAATATTTTAATATTTTGATAACTTTTTTTATAAATAAAGTTTTTATAAATAAAGTTCTTTTATAAATAAAGTTTAATTTTTGTAAGGAAAAGTTGCGAATCAATTTATAAATATAATGTTTTTAATAACTATTGTGTTAAATTATTTTTGAGGATAACTTTATCATTCTTACTCTTTACCATTCTTTACTATTTACATATAAAATATTTCAAAATGAATGATAATATAATAATATTTAGACTCTAAACGTGCAAATTGGTAACTCGTTTGAAATGCGGCTCTCTTTTTCCATTAATTACACAATGAGGATATCTCAATCGCAAGGAGAGATTCAAAACGTCATCTATTGAGACTGAATCCTGAATTACGAGAGAGACGTTCTTTTCGACCTTGAATGACGACGACGACACGTCACTCAGACCTGGACATCATAGGGCTTGAGGAGACAACGTGGGTGGCAACAATAGCTCTCTTGAGCGACCAGTTTCAGGTGGCGCGACACGAATTGTACGACTGCGTGGTTTGAAAGTGATTAATCACCGCTGCCGATCGCACGCATATATACGGGCACTCTGTGTAAGAGTATATGTAACTGACAACGAATCGCTCGTCGTCGTCGTCGTTCTTGTCGGTCAGATCTGGATTTTCGATGGGAGAAAACCGCGGGGGGTTCATACCACACTTGGAGGCTCCGATCCTGACAGATCGAAAAATAAAAACGCGGTGACCAGGCGGGACTCTCGGATGGCTTGAGTATGCAGTACGTTCGCAAGATCTAATAAAGATCAAATTTTATCGTGATGAAAACTCGATTTGGTAGTTAGTTTTTCAATCACTGATTAACCTTCGTGTCCAGAGTAATTCGTATTTCCTCGATATGATATAGCAATTTTCATTGTATATCAACTATTCAAAAAGAAAAGCAAGAAAATCTAGACCGTTTTGCCGTTTTCCCATCTTTACAAAAATACTGAAGACGCATTATTCGAAATCTTTTGATCGCAAAAAATATATTTACAAAGAAATGCACGAAAAGAAATATAATTTCCCAATTTTGATGACCTTATAATACGTTGAAATTAAAAGCAAAATAGGAAACATGTAATTTTTTATATGTGCACTTTTAAACAGTAAAATTCTTTTTGAAAAAGGAACGGTTTTCTTCTTCCGCGACTAATATCGCTGAATTTACGAAAAATAAAAAAAGGTTTAAAATAAAAATTAAATGTATGGTTTCTTGAAAATATTTTACAATAACGTTTCAAAATAAAAAAAAAAATTATATTTCTTATTATACTTCCACGGCTTATTATTACTTATTACTTATTGTTACTTATTGTTACTTATTATTGTTTTACATTAATAATTTCTTTTTTATCTTAAATGAAAGGGTATTTTATGCCAAATCCAATCATATATTACATAGTTATATTCCGAAAAGTTAAATTATATGGAAATATCTTCATATGTACGCTAACAATAGCAACTTACCGCTCGATATATGTAGTCCACACAACACATTCTTTTCATACTTATTTTCAGTAAGAGATAACAATTAGTAAAGACTTATATTATATTGCAGAAGAAAGTTTTTTAATCTATAATAATTACAACGATTCCCAGTAAACAAGAAATATTAAATAGGTATTTATGGCTTTTGAAAACAATGATCATATATATATATATTTTTTTTTGTAATTATATTTAATATTTGTAACTATATCTAATGTTTGTGCACTATATTCAATGGATATTTTTAAAATGTTACACACATGATAATATTCTTTTATAAATGTTCGAAGAATATTTTAAAACTATGAGACGTAGCATTTTAAAAAAATTTTGTGTTATTGCTTAATAAGCAAGAAGCATGATAGTAATATTCAAAACAGTATATGGCATTTCATATTATCATTCGAATACCCTTATGAAAAAAAACTCCAAATTTTAAAAATTAACTCTTAAATTTGTGGGTTGACCATCAAATTTGAAAGTTGACCACAAAAGTTGGGTATTAACCCTGAAAATTTGGGGGTAGACTCTCAAATTTTCAGGGTAGATCCCAAATGATTTGGTGTCAACTCCAAAATTTTGGTGTTGACTCTTAATGAATAGTGTTGAACGTGAAATTTTTAGGATAAACCCCAAATGATTCGGTGTCAACTCCAAAATTTTGGTGTTAACTCTCAATGAGTAGTATTGAACCTGAAACTTTCAAAGTAAACCTCAAACGATTCGGTGTCAACCTCCAAGATTTAATACTCACTCTCAATTTTAAATGTTAACATTTAATCTTTCAAATTAGACCTCCAAATGTTTCGGTGCCAACCGACAAGTTTTGATATTAACCCCGAACGGTAAATAATTAAAATAAATAAATCTAAATAAATCCCAGAGTTTTATTCGCATGAACAACAGTCATCTCTATATGCTGGCCGTAAGGTCGGATAATAATCAACCTAAATGGAAATCATTTGTA